ATTCTACAGTGTTAAGTGTTTTTAGTGGAAATATGTCTTTCTTTTCCCTTCCTCCATATAAAAGGTATTTAAGATAATGTAAGTCTAAAAATTGTTGACTTATTTTAACCCCATCGTAATCTAAGACTGTATCAATATTTTAAAACTTATTCTATATACTATGGTCATTATGTTGATCTTTACTAAGTGACAGCGAATAATCCTGTTTTATTTCCTGCTAAACCAATCAATTTTAATCCTAACTTTATTGCTTGAAAAATGGGGAGGTCAGCGAGTGTTAGCATCCTGAACTCCGAGTCAAGCTTTGTGAACCAGGGCCTCGCGGGACCTCACCTCGGAGTCAGAGCTGTCCAGTTCAGACAGAGTCGGAGCTTTCAGGAGCCTCTTCCGCTGCACAGGCACCTGCTGCGCAGCATTTAGCCCGTTTTCTTTTCTTTGTGATGTTAAACCTCCATTCACCACTGATGATTCCGCAGTGCTCTTTGGAGATTCAGGGGTAGTTACATCTGGTAAGAGAAAGAAGAAAGCTCACCTTTTCTTGAGCTAAGAAAGGTAATCAGTGGACAAAACACACTTCCCCAAGTACCTGCACTCAGAAACACACACCAGTGACATAGCATTTCCATGTCACACAAATACAGCACAGCAGCTTGATACACCTATGTATACAAAACATTTTTGTTAGATATTAACTGTCGGATTCAACTGAAGAAAACCTTTAACTGACTAATGATATATTCACATTTATAGGTTAAAATTTAGAGCTAAAAGAAGTTCTACAGATAACTGACTCAACTTCTTCATTTTCCAGAGGCTCAGAGAGGCTAGTTTTACTTTACAGACTCTAAAGAGCTAGTGATGGGTGGATCAAAGTGATGGCATGCATGAAGCCTAAGTAAGTGTACGGTTGTCAGGTACGAACATTGCTTGATTGAAAATAGCTAATAACCCATATTCATATAAACATGAACACAAAGAATCTGGGATACAATCCCTCTGATAAAGCTGACTTAGTTTATTCAGCGCTCCAATCTGGATGGGAAAGCAATGTAACAAATTAAAGAAATGCAGGGTTCAGAGCAGAGCACAGAGTATACAGTACAGTAAGATGCAGATGGCTCTGCTCAAAGTCAAGCTCTGCTGCTAGTTACCTAACCTCCTGTTACCTCATCTATAAAATGGGCTAACAACAGACATGAGTTTGTTGTGAGGATTAAATAAGTTAACAACTGTACTAGTATATAAAATACTTAATGCTGTATTACAGGCAGTTCACCATGAATGTGAGCAATTAATAACACCAATTTGTATCTACATTAGCAAGTAAGCCAAGGATCAGAGTGATTTAGCCAGTCACACAGCTAGTGTGTGGCGGAAACTTGAATCCTAGTCAGTACCAATTCTAAAGTCCACTTTTTTTTTTTTCACTGTACCCTGGAATTCTCCAATGCAAGTGGAACCACTTTTCCTCAGTATTTCAAATGAATTGTTAAACATCAACGTTTAATAACTAACTACCAAGTTAGAGTATTTAAAGCTGGGAAAAAGCAGTCACTGTATAATTTAAGTTCCAGGTCAGCACCATGAGCAGGTCTGTGCACATGGAACAGTCTGAAGCCCCTGTAGTTGGGGGTAAGGATACACTAAGCGAAAAAGACATGCTTCAAGCTCCTTTACGAGGGGAAAGCATTGTAACTGGTTATTATAAAATTAAGAACCAGTAGTTCTCCCCAACGAATAATATTTATATGCTTGAAGTTTAAGAAGTGGATTTCCAGGAAAGATTAAGTATATAAATGTGTTCTAGTACAGCCTTCTATAACATTATCTGACTTAATATTTACAATTTCTGTTTATTTTGAGAGATCAAGAAGGCCAGAGAACACTCCCTTGTGAACTAGAAGAAAGGTTTGAGTAAGCTAGGAAGGATGGAGGAAAGGAAAAAGGAAGGAAGAAGACAGACATACCATCCATTAATCACTTACCAGTTTACATAAAATTTCTAATAGAAATTTTGACAACACGTGCATTACTTTTGTTATTATGTTTCCAGGTATTAAGTAGCTAGAACAAATAAATCATTAGGGAAGGAGGTATGCTGAAGGGGACAAAAGGGTAAAAGCAGCCAGTTTTTACACACATTGTAATGGTTAAAGTCTTCAAATACAGCTTTAATAAGGAGGTGTAGAGAGTGGTAGGCTGCCACACTTAGGAGTAATTTCAAAGTTTTCTAGAAAGCAAAGGAGGAAATGATTGGGCTGATTAATTCCTAGTCAAGAAAAAAGGTAGTGCTTAAATATGGTCTTGAAGTATATATTCATATTTTTTAATTGCTTTTTTTTTTTTTTCAGAGAGAAAAGGAGAGGGAGAGAGACATAGAAACATCAATAATAAGAGAGAATCACTGATTGGCTACCTCCTGCATGCCCCCTACTGGGATTGAGCCTGCAATCCAGGCATGTGCCCTTGACCGGAATCGAAGCAGGGACCCTTCGGTTAGCAGGCCAATGCTTTATCCACTGAGCCAAACCGGCTAGGCCAGAAATACATATTTTTAAAAACCTGATTCTATAGTGTATCTCATTTCATACCCTCCCTATGGAATTGTTCATGTTGTTGAACTAGTTAGTCTTTCAAGAGAAAGCACAAAGTTAAAATTGCACACTCTTTCATCCCTCTTAACTACCCATATTTCAATCGAGGCTCCCAAATTGGAGGTATAGTGAGAACGCAGCGCAGTCAGCTTCCCAAGGCAGGTCTCACATTCCCAATCTATCAGGTTAGGTGAGACCACTTAGGAGTGCCTGGAGGAACACTGAAACAGTTTTAGTGGTTATATATTTACTTTAATGTTTTTAAAAAAATACTTTATCAGATGCATGATTTTATGGATGTTTCTGCTTAAGATATTTATGTCATTTATGATAGATTTAAAAAACTTAAAATAATACCTGGTAGCACTTAAGTCTGGCAAAAATCATGAGGGTGGTATCTGAACTGAAGCTTAGGAAACACTGTTAAGTGATAAGGGCTGCCATGAGTTCATTTCATTCTCAAGGCAGGGATTTGAGAAATTACCCATTAGCTCTCTAACTGCCTAAAGACTGTGCTATGAGACTGATAGAGTTCACTGACTAAAACTACTAAAATAAACACCTTGTACTAAATTGAAGGCTTTGAGATAAATAAGATTAATAAAAAATATGCTATGTAACAGTAAGGTTTCAGAATGATCTCCACGTATAAAACTAAATACTGTGTGTGATTTCATCTCATATTTCATATTTCTAAAAGACTCAGTTGAACATATTTTTAAGTGATGTTTTTAAGTAGTTTGATTACTTATACTCTTCTGTTCAAATAAATAAATCCTCATTACTTTAGTGTGAGAAAACCAAATACTTAGATAAAACTTTGTACTTCTACATAAGACAGAATTTCTTGAGGAAAACAACGTATATTTATAACTAAACAAAATATTTAAGATGCTAGATATGGCTTTAAAAGTCACATATCTCAGGTTCAGTGCATGGCCATGATATTGAATACTTTATTATAATAACTTTATGTGTATTAGATACACCCAGTTGCTGCCTTACTTAGTTGGAGGAAATATAACTGGGATACAGATTACATATTTAATATTTGCATTGCAAAAATAAATTATACTTACCTTAATTAATGTTGAATAGATTAAAATTTTCCACTAAGGATTAATATTTCTAAGATATACCTAAGCAACAGAATATACTTTATGTCTTATTCTACACTTGAGTTCAGGGGAATTATTTACATGTTTCAATATTTACTCCTTAGTTTTCCAACTTGGCATTAGGTTAAAGAATGGATCCATCTTTTCCATTTATAATTTTTTAAATATTGATCTTAGAGAGAGGGAAGGAAGGAGAGAGAAAGGGCAACATCAATGTGAGAGAGAACATCGATTGGTTGCCTTCTGTATATGCCCTGACCAGGGACTGAACCCGCAACCTAGGTATATGCCCTGACTGGGAATCGAACCCACCACCTTTTGGTGTACAGGACGATGCTCCAACCAGGTAAGCCACCCAGTCAGGGCCCATTTATAATTTGTCAAGATGCAACAATAAAAACATAAAAGAAGCACAAGAAATTGAGAACAAAGCATGTAGAAATCATGAAGTATATACACTAAATTATGAAGTAAACTATAGCAAATGATGAGCAGTGAAAGCACATAAAAACTTTTTGTTACTCGTTTATATCAAGGAGGTCAACTACCAATATCTTTCTTCCCAATACATAACCCATCATATAACCTATAAGAACCCAAAATACACCTATATATAATGTGTGTGGGCATGCATAATGTCTAGACCAGTCACCTGTGCTTAATTGTGTTAGCCAACGGTCAATGTGTTTAGGTAGCCAGCCATTCTCATACAGTCCAACTGATGGAAACATCTTTAGTAGATATTTAGAAGCGGTAGAGTGCCTGTAATATATACTGCCAACTTTTACGAGACTGGTAGTAACTTATATTCCAAAACATTTTGAGTTTATTTTCCAGAACAAAATTTTTTATAAGGTTACTCTGCAAATGGTTGGTAAAATAAAAATTTTCAAGCAGATAAAAGAAAATAGAAAAGCTCTTTAGTGGTCAGTCAAAAGAAGTGAAGAATGTAAATTATTTATTTGAATTTCTTAAAAGCACAAATATTAGTCATGTCTGAGACCTACAAATATAAAAAGTTTAAAAAAAAAGTTAGGAACTAGTTTAGGAGTTGAAAGATACTCAGTAAATAGTCATAAACAGAATATAATACTAGAACTCTCTGGCTCTTTAAATATGAATTTGTATTTAACATATGCCAACAATTCCATGGCACATAAAAGAAAATTCTGGAACAAAATATTAGTCCCAACATCTTAACTCATTTTATGTTCAAAACGACAACTTCCGAAATTAAAAATTCTAACTGGCAAAATAATTTACGAGGATTAAGTTGGCTGGGAAACTTTGCTCATATATAGTTTAAAAAGAGGGCTGATTTTACAGATCACATTTACAGTGGGGCCTTGACTTACGAGTTTAATTCGTTCCTTGACGGAGCTCGTAACTCAAATTACTCGTATGTCAAATCTTAAAGTGAACGAGTGAGACACGTGATGCTGGGCTGATGTTGTGGCGTTCACTGTGACGTTCGCTGCGCCAACTAGCGGTGGGGTATCTGAAGCTGGCTCGTAACCGAATTTTAGCTCGCAACTCAAAGCAAAAACTCGGCCGAGAGAGATGGCTCGTATCTCGAAAAACTTGTTAGTTGGGACACTCATAAGTCAAGGCCCCACTGTACTCATTAATAGTTGTTTGTTTCACTATTAATCCCTGTCTACTTAACAGGAGGGGTCTAAACTTGTACAACAAACCCGGGGCTCCTATTTTACAACCAATGCCATTCCGTGCTTTTCTGTTTTCATACTGTTAATGAGCACTCAGAACTGTTTGTGACTTGGCCTTTCTACAGGGAGCAGAGAGATACAAGTTCTTGTCCATCAACTGAGAAGCGGCAGTTCTCTGAAGTAGCTGACAGTTTTCAGTTTAGCTACTTAAATGCTTTAGAGAATAAGCAGTGTCAAAACTTTGTTTCTTGAAAGGTTTTTTCTAGTCTCTTAAAGCAAAGTTCTGCTGTAGACTGTGACATCACTGCTTTAGAAGACTGTGGGTGAGTGAGAGACCATAGGGATCGGCAGCCACTTTCCATAACCGTAGGTATGGTGTAATGGTTCTTCCATAACCCCTTGGTAGGCAACAGATTTATTGCAGTTTTACTTTTTTAAAAGTATAAGCAGAAAGTATTATTTTACTGACCACAGCTTAGAAGAAGCCTTTCAATTTTCTTTTTTGACATGTTTGAACAAGCAGATGAATGAAATGTATTTCACAGAAACCACAAAACCCACGTCAGGTGTGAAAGCATTTTTTTTTTTTTACCTGACAAGTCAAAACTGTAAGACATGCTAAGTGGCCGCACTGCTGAAAAAAAGAAAACAAACAATAAAAAGAAAATAATTCAGCTGTTAGAAATATACAGGGAGGACAAAAAAGAGGGGAAAATTCAAGAAGACCTGGAGTGGCACATTTCAGACTGTAAGGCAGAAGGCAGTGAATAAAAATCTAAAATATAATGAAACTGTGAATCTTAGTTTCAATTCTATCACTCAGACTTCAAATGAAGTAACATTAAAAGAAGAAAATAACTTTTTAAAGAACATGTTAAAAATAAGCATGATAAAAACAAAAATTTTAAAGAACCATAGTACTACAGAATTTTTGACTTCAACATAACATCAAAAGAAAAAAATAGCCATTTTTAAAAACACAGTTTTACAGAACATACAAAATCTTTAAAATTTAAAGATAAATGTGTTATTAAATAATTTATTTCAGGGTGAAAATTTGGCTCTCTGTATATAGGTGAAACATTTTATATGAAGTCTCATTTAGGAACTAGCAGCATCACAATCCTATATAATAAAAGCATAGCATGCAAATTGTCCCCTCGACCGGGAGTTCGACCAGGGGGCGGGGCTGGCTGGGGGAAGGGAGGGAGGCCCTGGCCAGCTGCAGCCACCAGGGTGAGAGAGGCCCTGGCCAGCAGCAGCAGCAGGCAACTGGGGGAAGGGAGAGAGTACCCGGCCAGCAGCCGGCAGCCAGCAGCTACTAGGGACCCTACCAGTGCATGAAATTCGTGCACTGGGCCTCTAGTATGTCAATAATTGTCTACTGAAGGCAGTGTAACCTAGTAGTTGAAAAGAGGCCTCAGGAGCCAGAATGCCTAAATTTGAACATCAGCTCTGCCACTTACTACCAGTGTGATTATGGGCAAGTTACTTAACCTCTTTGTGCTACAGTTACTTCATCTGTAAAATGGTAATAATGATACCTACACCTCATGGAACTGTTAGGAAGATTAAATAATTTTGTACAAAAAAAAAAGAGAGAGAAAAGAAAAGGTGCTCAGAACAGTGCTTGGTACACAGTAAAAAGCTCAATAAATATACTTTTTTAAGAATAAACTTATTTATTTCCTATTGAATACTTTGTTTTTAAATTTTTATAACATACTAAAACCCATTGAATTTTATAACTTAAAGAGGATGAACTTTATGATAGGTAAATTTATCTTAATAAAACTGTTTTTAAAAAGGTTATACAAAGATTTGATGGATTTGGGTATTCATGACAGTCAGAATTATCTATTTTCACTACAGCCCAAATTTCTTACCAGGACTGCATATTCTATGACCTAGGCTCAGGGATACAGGTGCCTTTGTGGTCAGAAGAGACTAGAACATGAGGTCTAGTGGGGAAGGAAGTACAGGCGTGTCTGCCCAGTTCAAGTTTTCCAGGTAGATTGCCTATAGCGTTCTAACGCCCACATTTAACAGCACGTAAGTATCTCTTGATATGTTTTTTGGCAGATGTTTTTTTAAAGGAACAATTTATATTTACAACCCAAAGTCTCAATATAGTGTTTTAAAAAAAAATGATGTGAAGGAAAAGCATTCAGTTACATCTCAAACTCAACTTAGCAAGATGTCAGAATCACATGCAGATGTTTTAAAAAGCACTTAAGTCAACAAAGGGGGTGTGAATATTAAATGGGGCAAATAAAGCAACTATGTGTTAAGAATCATACTTATTGTTTGATAATCAGGAAATAATATTTTAGGTATTTCATCCTAATATACAAACTACACTTTAACTTTTAAATAACCAATTTACTGTGTTTTAGTTGTCTTTCGAGATTTTACATTGACGAGAATAATCCTCCACACACCATTAAAAAAACCTCTGCATTTCTAAACTCAAATAATACCGAATCTGGATTTCCCCAATTATGTAGAGTAAATAAAATACTACACATTGTAAAAGCATTCATCACTCTTCTCCAATATATTATTCTGCTCTTCTCTGGAACATGAACATATCTTTTGAAATAGACTGACTACTGTATAAGAAAGAGATGCTATTATTTCTTGAAAGATGAGGTTCAGATTTTTCTAAGTTCTATATACCACAAGAGGACAGCAATCAAGCATCATAACCACTAAGATGTTTAGAAAAATGATGTTTTAAAAGTAACAACTTATATTTTAAACCCAAAATCTCAATACAGTAAAAGATGTTAGGGAAAAAAAAAAAGATCAGATATGAACACTATGTACAATAGTAATTTCAGACTTAATAGGAAAACAGTCTGTAAAACAATAGAGAAGTAGGTAAATAAACACAGTTTAGCCATATGTGAGGATATCTTGTCCTTATAAATAATGTTTTGAGTCATATTTAATGGCAGTGGAAGTGCTCATGTCACATACAATGTTAAATGAAGACAGAAGAATACTGTACATAATTTTTTTTATTTCCAATTCAAGATGCACAAGTAGATTTGCAGGAACTGCCTCTGGCTGTTGAAATTATGGGTAACATTTATTCTTTAAACATTTACATATTTCCCCCATTTCAACAGTGGGGTTTCTACTTGCAATTATATGGAGAGGAAAAGGTTATAAAAATATTTAGGGAAACATTTCTTCAAGTTAATTCTGCCAAGCTTATCCTAACCAAACCCCCCAAAGGAAAAGTGTAAGAACCAATATATATATCTACAGAAATAATGAGCCCAAATCTTTTACTGTTCAATTAAAATTTAAGATCACTTTGAAGACAGAAGTCTAGAAGTAAGATTCTCATAGAAAATCACTTTCTATAATAGCTCAATTCTGGTTGTTGTGAAATACCAAGTATAAGGTTAAAATAAGATACGATATAATCAACAAAAACTGATATTTAATTATTGTAAAATAGGGCTTCTATTAGTTAGCATCTAATTTGTTTAAAATGAAACAGGAGAATATGTGTGTAACAAGTGTTTGTGATGACATTCCATGCAATTTAAGAGTGTCCCGCCCTGACCGGTTTGGCTCAGTGGACAGAGCGTCGGCCTGCGGACTGAGGGGTCCAGGGTTCGATTCCAGTCAAGGGCATGTACCTTGGTTGCAGGCACATCCCCAGTAGGGGGTGTGCAGGAAGCAACTGATCGATGTTTCTCTCTCATCGATGTTTCTAACTCTCTATCCCACTCCCTTCCTCTCTGTAAAAAATCAATAAAATATATTAAAAAAAAAAGAGTGTCCCTTTGATGCCTATAAAGATTGTTAGTTTCTTCCTTAAACTCCTTCAAACGACCTCACTTAACGCCCTCTCACTGGCTGCTATTAGCACTCATGTGTATCTCTTGCAACATGAACATGCAGGACACTCCAGAGTCACTCTTCTGTAAGCATTTGCGGGCAGGGATGATGTCTTATTTAACTGTGTCCCCCAACAGCTGGCACAATGTTTAATAGAAAATAAAGGTTCAAAACAGTATTGGGAAAAAAGAAAAGAGAAAAAGAGACTCAACGTCACATACCATCCAAGTAATACAAGTACATTATGCTTGTCTTGTTCCTTTCTCTATTCTGTTGGTACTGCCATTAAAGTTTATAATCCCAAGCCCAGTTAATCTTTACTCCTGTAAATCATAAAGCTTACTTTTCTCATGGCAAACTATTTATTTTACTCTATAGTTTTGTTGAAATCGTTTGTATTACCTCCATTATTCCTTTTCAAGGTGTAGTAAATTTTAAAAAATCTAGTTTAAAACAATTATCCTACAATTAATTTCCTTATTTTTCCATAGTGGTTCTAACTCTCTGTTCTCAAAAAAAATGCATACACATATAGTCTGTGAAATATGAATACATTTTTAAAACATTTCAGGGGATTCACAGACCCTCCTCAGGCCCAGTTAAGGATCCCAGGATAAGAACTCTTGGTTCACATGGTTTATATGTTTTGGCTCATTATTATGTAAATGCTCATATGGATTTGTCACTTTGCATGCTATAAACATCATTTAAAAGTATTTTTATTGATATCAGAATTGGTGAAGGAGAGAGACAGAAACATCAATGATGAGAGAGTCATTGATCGCTGCCTCCTGTACACCCCACACTGGGGGTCCAGCCCACAACCCATGCATGTGCCCTGACAGGAATCAAACCTTGACCAGTCGATGCTCAACCACTGAGCCATGCTGGCTGGGCTAAACATAATTTTTAAGAGACAACACTTGCTGCCATAAAAATTAGACAGGGATAAATTGACATAACTTTTATTTGTAGTTTAGTAATTGTAAGGTACATTTAAAAATTTCAACACCTATGGGAGTTCTTTTTACAGCCAAGTCCCTATACTAGGGACTGGGGTCACAATAATGAACAAGACAGACATGGGTCCTGCCATCATGAAGGTCACAATGTAACAGAAGGGCTGAGAGTCAAAGAACATCAATATGGAGTGACTGTAGAGTTCCGAGCTGGACTAGGGAGAGTAATCAGAACTGATGCAATAAATAGACCAGAGAAGATGACAACTTAGGTTAAGACAGTGGAAGCCTAGAAAGTTCCAGAAGTAAAATCAACAGGGCTTGGCTGTTAAGAATCAGAGATGATGCTGAACTTTGTGTTGGGCACACTGAGATGGGGAAACAGGAAGAGACAGTTTGGGTAGAGAGCAGATGAGTTTACTTGTGGACTTGTTGGGCTTGTCTTGCTTGTAGGATATAAGGAGGCTCTATCTAGCAGACAGATGGATGCATGAGTTTGAACTTTTAGAGAAATCTGTGCTATAGATTCGGGGCTGGAAGATAGCCAGAAACAAAAACTATGGAAAAGGGCATGGCTGAACAGGAAGAAGTGAGCCCAAGATAGAAACTTAAAGAATCAAGAAGAGTCTCAAAGAAGCAGAAAAAGAAATCAGAAGGGAAACTAGGAGAGGGTGGTGTCACGGAACTGATTCCCTTCCTGTTCAGGTGCCATTATAATCTATTTTCCTAACGGAAGTTTCTCTGAATTCTTTGGACACCTTAGAGTGGAGGAGAGTTGTATAAACAAAACGTTTACAATAATCTATCTATAAATCAAAATCAATGTGTGCTTATAGTATACATTAAACACATTAAATTTACTAAATATAAAGGAACTTTGAGAATAAGTTAAGTGATATCAGATAGTAATTGATGCTTTTATCACCTAATACCATATCTTTAAACCCATAATCAAGACAATAAAAACTTGAACACCATCATCTTTATTCTAAAACATATCTTTGTATATAAGACAAGAGAAACTTGAAGTAACACCATCATCTTTATTCTAAAACATATCTTTGTATATATGTCACAATTTATAAAGTATTTTAACCACAATCTTATTTAATTCTTCCAAAAAAGCCATAATTCAGGTGTAGAGGAATTTTTATGCCCCTTCTCTTGACAAAGAAATAGACACTCAGAGAGGTAAAGACCCTCTCCTAAAGCCACAGTCTAGAGCAGTGGTTCTCAACCTTCTGGCCCTTTAAATACAGTTCCTCATGTTGTGACCCAACCATAAAATTATTTTCGTTGCTACTTCATAACTGTAATGTTGCTACTGTTATGAATCGTAATGTAAATATCTGATATGCAGGATGGTCTTAGGCGACCCCTGTGAAAGCAAAGGGGTCGCGACCCACAGGTTGAGAACGGCTGGTCTAGAGCTTGGCAGAGCTCCATCCACTCTGCCAGTTCAGGATGATGTAGGGAAAGAATTTCTTATTCTTGTACCGTTAGTTCCACTAAGCTGACTATATAAAGACACTTTTTCAAGTGGGTGTGACTAGACCAGGAGTGTGGAAAGCAGTGACTCACCTAATCTGCTACGTCTAATCTCTTCTGGGGAGACGGGCCGCAGCTTTCTTTCTGCTTTGATTTCTTCTAGTATTCTTTCATGGAGGCTCCGTGGCCGTGGTGGAGTGGGTTTTAGTTTTCTGGCTGAGGCCTTGAAAAAAACACATAATGGTTGGAGACTTTAAGTAGTTGTCCTTAAATAGTTTTTACTTAAGTCCATTCATACAGTATAATGTTATGAAATGATATTTTATGGATTGACACACTGCTTGATAAAAAACTATTTAGAGGGGATCCTTTTCCTCCTCCCTACTTGGGAGTCCATTCTGTAGGACTCTTTCCCTCTCCCCCTGTGGGAGTCTGTACTTGTTCTTCAATAAATCTCCACCTTTGCTATAAAAAAAAAATCTATTTAGAGTCATTATCAAGATTTCTAAAACAATAGGGAGACTTCTGAATTTCACAGTGATTTAGTCGTACGTGCTTAACTAATTTTAAAGAGACAACTGTGGCTCAGTGGTTGAGTGTCAACGTATGAACCAGGAGGTCACGGTTCAATCCAAGTCAGGGCACATGCTGGGGTTGTGGGCTCGATCCCCAGTGGGGGGGTGTACAGGAGGCAGCTGATCAATGATTCTCCCTTATCACTGATGTTTCTATCTCTCTCTCCCTCTCCCTTCCTCTCTACAACCAATAAAAAAATATTTTTTAAAAAATCTTTAAGTAGGACATATTCTAATTATTAGAGCACCCCCCCCTTTTTTTGCTAATTATGAATGACAGTAGTAGGTGGTCCAGACAAAAGGTGAAGAAATAAAAACGACAGGAAAAACACTTACATGTCATCTGTGAACGTGATGCCAAAGTACTCCTTCTCTTTCAGGTTGAAATGCGAAGCCACGAGGTCCAGCAGCTCTCGTGCTAGCAGCTTGGGCTGTCAGTACAAAAGTCTGATTAGAAACACTTTGCTTGCCTCTCTCTTATCGCTACCACCTTCCTCTACCCCAATAGTTTAGAACAGCTTTTGTTCGTTCTTAAATATCTGCCTTCTCCCCAGCCAGGGGCGTGCACAGGTCAGTCTACTGCAGACCATCCTCCAAGAGACTGGGAAGGGGAGTCACCATCTATCTTCTATATATATAAAAGGCTAATATGCAAAGTGTTCCCTTGGGAGTTAGACTGGGAGTTTGATCGCTTGCTATGACATGCGCTGACCACCAAGGGGTGGCGCGGATCGAAGGAAGGCCCCAATCGGCCTGATCGCAGGCCAGGCCTAGGGACCTTACCTGTACACGAATTTCATACACCAGGCCTCTAGTTCTGAGAATAAAAGCTCAATGTAAAAACTAACCACTTTAAGAGCTGAGTTCTAGATATCACACTCTATAGGAGAATAATTCATTCTGTGAATGCCAATCAAGAGGAATAAGTCAAATTACATACTGGATTTAAAGGAGGTCTTGATCTGATGAAGTCGAGAATGATTTCATGAGCACTTTTTTTTAACCGAGGAGGAATATCACCATTCACCTGAAAAAAAAAAAAAGACAAAAAGTAGAAGATTCATCTGATTATAGCAGTGATTTTCAATAGTGTGCCAGAAGAATTTTTAAAACAAGCAATACCTGACTATTTAGTCAGGGGCACTGACCTCTTTTCTCTTAGATCAGTGGTTCTCAACCTTCTGGCCCTTTAAATACAGTTCCTCATGTTGTGACCCAACCATAAAATTATTTTCGTTGCTACTTCATAACTGTAATGTTGCTACTGTTATGAATCGTAATGTAAATATCTGATATGCAGGATGGTCTTAGGCGACCCCTGTGAAAGGGTCGTTCGAACACCAAAGGGGTCGCGACCCACAGGTTGAGAACCGCTACTCTAGGGTGTCACAGCGGACTTGAGTGTAGTCTTCTGCTTCTCAGGGAAGGTCATCTGGAGTTCAGGCCCAGCTCCCTTTGTGAGCCAATGATCACAGGAAGGAAGCAGCTGTGTTCTTAGCACAACACAGTCTGGGTCACTGTCCTTAGGAAATAGCATCAAAACTATGTGAATAGGTCATTCACAACAACACGGATGGACCTAGAGGGTATCATGCTGAGCGAAATGAGTCAGACAGAGAAAGCCCAATACCATAGGATTTTACTTACATGTGGAATCTGAAGAACAAAACAAACAAACAAAATAGAAAGAGACTCACAGATACAGAGAACAGACTGATGGCTGCCAGAGGGGAGGGACTGGGTGAAAAAGGTGAAGGGATTAAGAAGTACAAATTTGTAGTTACAGAATAGTCATGGGGATGTAGCATAGGAAATATAGGCAATATGGGTATTTGAATTATCAGGGGGATGACTTTGTAAAGTATATAATTGACTAACCACTATACCATACACCTGAAACTAGTATATAATAACATTGAATGTCAACTATAATCCTATATAATAAAGAGCTAATATACTAATTACACCAAACAGCAGAACGACCATCCAGATGACCTTCCAGATGAAGCTGGGCTGCACGGGCCAAGGCAGCCAGGGTCTGCGAGGGCCGCCGAGCCCTTGCATGAATTTCGTGCATCAGGCCTCTAGTTGAAAAGTAAAAATTAAAAAAAAATTATGAGAATAAAATGAAAACAAATGATGTGAATAGGGGGGTCTGTGAAGGAGAGTCATCCTTGAGCTGAGAGGTTTGCTGCATTTTAAACATTTTAGTTGAGCACAAGCTCAGCCAGTGTGGCCCTCCCACCCCCAGAGGATCAGAGCTCACCCTGTTCATTCCCAGGCCCCAAAATGGGAGACCCTAGAAGAGCACTTCACAGGGCAGCAGAAAATGCAGAGAAATAAGCAAAGAGATACAGTTTTTAAAAATAAAAGAGTATTTTGTCTCACTCAAATTGGTCAAACCGAAAAGATACCCAAAATTTGGTCAAGATGTGAAGAACAGAAACAGACTCACAGGTATAGAGAACAGTTTGAAAGCTTCAAGATGGGTGAAAAAGGTGAAGGGACTAAGAAGCACAAATCGGCAGTTTCAGAACAGTGACAGGGATGTAAAGTACCACATAGGGAATATAATCAATGATACTGTAATAACTATGTATGTGTCAGATGGGTACTACATTTATTGGGTGATCAAGTTATATAATGATTTAACTCCTAAGAATTTAATTCAAAGATTTAATTGTAGCTATTCAAAAAGATTTATATACAAGGTAACACAAAACAGGATGTTGATAACTGGATATAAGTTGATTAGTTTAATAAACTCTGGTATAGCCATAAGCTGGAAAAGATGCAGTCATTTAGAAATGATGTTGAATAAACAATGACATGAGAAAATGCTCATATGTTAAGTGAAAATAACAGGTTACAAAACAAAGATTCCAATGTTAATCCACATTGTCCAAATAAAATGTATAGGAAAAAATTGAAGGTTATACACCAGCATGTTAGCAAAATTTCTCTCTGGATTGTGGAATTACATATTTTTAATTTTTTTCTTTGAGCTTTTTTATATTTTCCAAATCTTCTATAATGATCATGTATTACTTTTATGAGAAAAAAATATTTTTAAAATATAACATTGAAAAGAACATTTTCAACAAATAAGATTACTGAAGAAGATCCATTTGAATCCATTAATAGTTTTCTTTGTTACTTACCATCACTTTTCGCAAAGTGTATCTTTTGGATCTAATGTCATCCATTAGCATCTCATAAGGGGTGAGTTGATATTCAATGGGCAAAGGGTTGTACTGCCGCTCTTGGACCTTTTTAAGTTTTACTCCATTCCGCAAATCCCTCATCACCTGTACCCAGAATCGAGCCTGAAAGTACCAATGGTAGAAAGACATCAATGAATGAATTTATTAGTTTCCTATAAATAGCTACAGTCACACAGAAAAAATGAAGAGCTTGGATTACAAACAAAAACAATTTTAAAATTAAATTTTAGGCTACTAAAAAGTAAGTAGAAAGCCCAGTAGAGAATCCACAAGCTATAACTGCTGAGCACCTGGGTATAAATCCTAACTCATCCACTTTAGTAGACATTAATGGTCTCAGTTCTTCAGGCCTCCTGTGTCTACACTGTTATGTAGCTTTGCTCACTAAAGAGGAAGACTGTACTTCTCACACCTTGATATATGATTTGGTTGGCCATTGGAATAGTAATGGATATGACGTGACTAAAGGCTTCAAAAGCAAATGCACAATGGGCTGTCATTCGCACTTCTATTATCGCCATAAGGACAACATGCCTGGATTGACATGATGCCCACTGGAATGACCACCTAGCAGAAGGATGAGACACACATAGAGTGGAGTTACTACAATTGATCTGCAAATTCATGAGCTAAATTAATATTAATGCCTAATGCCACAGTGATTTTGTAGTGCTTGGTTACATGGCATTATAGTGACCATAACAAACTTATACAACCACCTATTAGCTATTGGATATCCAGGCAGCTGCTTCATCTTTCTGAACCCTGGCTTCCTTATCACTAAAAGAAAATGGTACTTCATAACTTGTTGAGCAGATTAGAGATGTTCTCTATATAGAATATGTGTTCTGTACATAGAAAATGCATAAAAATGGCAATTTTTATGTTATTATCTTTGCACAAATATTTAATATCAGTTTTCTTATCTACAAATAGCAAGTTGCCTTGTCTATCTTTCAAAAGATTGAGATATATATGAAGTACTTATAGTAATATAAAACATATTCAATATGTGTATTATAATTTAACCCTTTTGTTTTCCTGCTTTATAAGCTAACGGTGTCATAGTCTCTACTTCATTGAAAAATAAATCAAGCCCTAGCCGGTTTTGCCCAATGGATAGAGTGTCGGCCTGCGAACTGGAAGGTCCCAGGTTCGATTCCGGTCAAGGGCACATGCCCGGGTTGTGGGCTCGATCCCCAGTGGGGGACTTATAGGAGGCAGCCGATCCATGATTCTCTCTCATCATGGATGTTTCTATCTCTCTCTCCCTCTTCCTTCCTCTCTGAAGTCAATAAAAAATCAATATGATATTTAACTGAAATATTGTAGTTTGTTAAACTTAGTAAGTATCTCAAATAGCTCCTTAAATATACACTGAGTGGCCAGATTATTATGACCGGCCAGATTATTATGACCACCCCATTAGTACAATGAAGTGAATTAGTTATGCAAATAATAATAATAAAACCTTGAGAGTATTTGCTTAGGAAGTTTTCAATATCCAGTATTTTTGGAATGTCAATGAAGTACTGATGGGGTGGTCATAATAATCTGGCCTGTCATAATAATCTGGCCACTCAGTGTATTTTAACATCAAGTGGTATAATTTATAAGAATTGTCTATAAAGATAACTCGAATTAAATGTCTCAAAAATGTCCCCCAAAACAATTTGTGATTAAAAAACAAAAACAAAATGTATACCATTTCTTATTCCAAAAAGAATTTGAGGTATTTAATATTGAGGTATACCCATTAGAACATCTAAAATATTCCTTTTTAAAAAAAATAGTTTAGATTCTGCCATTAAAGATATTCTAATACGTCCCTAAAATAGTTAGCTTCTCTACTTTTCTTACTTATTCCTTTAAGATCTAGTTCAATCTATCTCATCTTTTAAAAATATGAGAGGTCTTCTCTGACCTTCTCAGGCTTTTAGAAAACCTGTCATATGAAACTTGGAATTCTCAAAATAGGTAAATTAGGGGATGATCACTCACATAGCTTTTGCTATAATTTATTAAAGGATTAAAACAGCCTTGTTTTATATAGCCAGTTCTTTATGTATTATTGTTTGGCAAAAATTTTACAAATTACTTTTCAGAAATTAAAGTCATGGTTATTATACAATATAATACACAACTGTCACTGTATATATTCCCAGAGATTTTATTACTTCCCCCTTATTCCATTAGGAATATCCTGAGATGTTTAGAGTCAGCCATTCAAAAAATTCTGATTCTCCTTCATTCTATTCCTCATTTCATTCTAATCTTTCTAGGTAATTAGAAAGCAGATCTAATATGTCCAAAAGCAAGTTGTTCATATCTCCCAAATCTGCATCTTTTCCTACTTTCTCATTGAATAATGTCAATACTTATCCAGTGTACTTAACCTGAAAAGTCAGAATCCTAAAATGTGTTTTCCCATTGACACCTGAACATACCTCTGTCTAACTCTGTGACATTCACTGTCCTGTCCCCATGGGCCATCATGCCTGCCCGACTTTAAGTCATCTATGAGGAGAGGGATTCAGGGAGCTAGTACCAGGCTGGAAAAACAGTAGACACTCAAATGTGTCACATGAATACACCACCATCATCTGCTCTAGAACTCTGTCTTCTGTTTTATGAAAGCAGAGTCCCCATATTATTCATTCTGCATCCCCAGGGAATAGTTGAATATACTACACTATATTTCATACCTTATCCTGAAACAGAGCATAAACTTTGACTTACATATAAGATTATGCTAAAGTATTAATATAATCAGAAAGATCAATATTTTAAAACACTGAAACTCCCAGAGACATTGGGGTGATTCTAATAAAATCAGATAGTTTTATTAAATGGGAAATAGGTATTTCCTCAAATGAAAGACTAGGTATTCAAATTCATGTAACATCAATTCATACTACAGTCCTTAACAACCAGTTATTTCTTCTCTAACACTAAACAGAACAGGGAGAATGCCCAGCTCTTACCCAGTCAGCGTTTTTCAGCTCCTCCAGTTCTGTGTTTGATTCATTGCTCTTCTCCATTTCTTGAATCTTCTTAAGATTCTACCAGTTGAAATAAAAATATTTGGCATAAAAATTTCATTTAGCTACCTTCTCAACTTAAAATTTCTAATGGATACCTTCAGATAAAATATAAACAAAACGGTTATTGAAGCAGATAATACAGGTAGTGTCAGGTTCAACAGAATCACCAATTCTTCAGGGAAACCTTCCCTTCCTCCTTGAACAAGCCAAACCTTCCTGCCATACAACTTTGTGGCACCATAAACCTTTCCTCTATGGTTCTTATCAACACTAATTTTACATTTGTTTGTGCCTTTCTCTAGACTCCATGACTCAGATTTCTGTTCTCAGAAGCTAATATAAGCACTGCCACTGTTGATACTCAAATAATTTAATAAATACATTTCAATATACAAAATGTCTTTTATTTATTTTTAATTTGATACATATATATATTGCAAAATGGCTATCACAATAAGGTTAGTTCCACTTCCATCTCCTCACATAATTACCTTTTTTATAAATGGTGAGAACATTTAAGATCTACTCTCTTTGAAGCTTTCAAGTATGTAATATAATATTGTTAACTATAGTCACCAGGCTATACATTAGATCCCCAGAACTTATTCATCTTATAACTGGAAGTTTGTACCCTTTGAAATTGCATTAATTCAACATCCGCAATAAAAAAATCTTGATAGGTAAAATATATATTCACATATTAATTACAATTTTGTGTTATAACATTCCTACTCACAATAATTCAACTCTAATATATTTTGCTAAGCATATTTGCCTAATTGCATTTGGACTAAGTTTAAATGAATTGTATGAAACCTAATTTGTTTTATATACAAATAATGAATACTTAATATAAAATATTTCTAAACCATTTATTTTTAGTTATTCAACATCTCAGATTAACCATCTGCAAAATGATAATAACACCATCTGCTTTTTTGTACTTAATAATGCCCAGGAGTATTAATACAGAAAGAATAAAATTACTCTGAGGAAAAGGTGGTATAAATAATGCATTATCTCCTCTCTCCCTAGGAAAGAAATTAGGAGAAAAAAAGTATATTTGGTTGTTTCAGAATGTGTTTCCATAATTATTTTTAAAAGGAAGTCAGGTTTCCTGCTTGGGACTATATAGTAAGACACTTGCCACTCCTGAGTCACGGCCTTGTTTAAGTTCCCTCTTCGGGCCTTCTGTTCCCCACCTTTAAAAGGAAGATACCACCATCTACCTCACAGTGTTGTGTTTAAAATATAATCAATTAAACAGCCCAGTGACTCAATAATTTGCGAACTGGAAGGTCCCAGGTTTGATTCCGGGACCTTCTGTCCCCCACCTTTAAAAAGAAGATACCACCATCTAACCTCACAGTGTTGTGTTTAAAATATAATCAATTAAACATAGCAGAACCTTGCATTTACATCCTCTGGGGAAAAGGAAATTCCAAAACATGCATTCCCTAATTCTCCTCTGAACTATAGGATACAGACTACTTATATGTCAGTGGGCATCCATTGCTTTTGTCTAGAAACCCTTTCCCTCCCTTCCTTTCATAAAGATCCTTCTCTCTGTAGGGCATGCATCCCCTACAGTTTGAGTAGGGCTGAGCCCATGCTTAGCATTTGTCACCTACTCACAGGGATGAGGATACCATCTCCCAAGTCACAGTGACTGGTTCCTGAGTGGGCACATAACTCCTTATCTTCCTCCAATACTTTTCTGCCCCAGTTAACAGAAAAGACTTTCTGCTGTAGTTACTGAACTGAGAACATATGAGATTTGGGCAGCACATTGTCATCTTACCTGCCTTTACCTAAGAGCCTGTCCTGGGGATAAAGAAAGAAAGCCAGCCCTGATCACAGGGTTTGAGGTACTGGATCCAGCTGTGCCTAAAGCTAACGGTACCTTTAAACTTCCCACTTATGGGAGCCAATAAACCCGGCCCACTCCACCCATGTTAATTTGAGTGGACTGTCCCTTGCAACAGAAACAGTTATGAGTTAATATGTCCTCTTAGTCCAGAAATATGAGTTCATTCTTCTTTGTCTTTGGGGTACTCTGGTGGAATAGTACAAGAAACATATGGCTTCTCTTCCATCCAACCTTACTTTTTACTATTCTCCAACATATTCCTGACTAAATGTAGTCAGGATGGTCTCACTGCTATGCCTTTACACATCTCCACCTTTACCTGTGCAGTGATAAAATCTCTAACTCTCTGCTACTAAGAAACACTATCTATTCTTTATAACACAGAAGATACTTTCAATGAATGGTCCAAGAATTTCATGTTTATTTTTCTGAAAATAAAGTAGCATAAATTGTAACTCAGATACTTCCTAGCTGTGTGACTTTGAACAAATTATTAAACTGCTCTAACCCCCAGTTTGATGTTTTCATCTGTAAAATGCAGGTATACCTTTAGCATTCTGTTAATATTACATAAAATAATACAGGAGAAATACAGCATGCAGCCTAGCTCATGGTAAACATATAGTAGGTATTAACTTTATAAGCCAATGAATATCTATGAGGATTTGATTGTGAACACTTTTACTCCATCACAAAAACATTGCATTCTTTTTACCAAATAAGATCTCTCTCTAGCTTCTTTATGAAATAAAATTCAGATTCAGCAACAAATCAATATAATACAGTTAAGAATCTGTAACTACTATAATTGAACAAGCTACAACCAATGTGCAACTAAAAATCTCACGTTTTTCTTGTTAGCAGCAAAAACAATGAGATATTTGAAATAAAATTACAGATTTTTCTAATTTTAGAAATAAGCTTCTGTCAATGATATTCTAGCTTCTGAATAAATGTTTTTTTTGCTTGCACAAATGTAATAACAGATGCCAACCTGTGCTTAGAATACGGTGAGAAAGTTCTAACTGAGAGCACCCACATGGCAATTAACTCTCCCCATTTCTAACATAACCAGTCTCAAGACAGCAATTAGAACTGCTCCATGCCAACATTTTCAGTTCCTGGCATGTTAAAAATAAAGAAATTAAATATACTCTGTAAATTACAAGTATATCAAATGCTCAGAGAGTAATTTTAATTTACATGTCTCTTCTTAAACTACCCTTACAAATATATTCACGTATAAAAATAATCTATCTATCTATCTATCTATCTATCTATCTATCTATCTATAAAAGCCTAACCGTTCGACCATTAGCTATGATGCGTACTGACCACCAGCGGGTAGACGCTCAACACACAGGCATGGAAACATGGAAACATGCATAACTAGAGGCCTGGTGCACAGATTTGTGCACCAGTGGGGTCCCTCGCCCTGGCCTGCAGGGGCAGGGCCAAAACTGGCAGTCCAACATCCCCCAAGGGGTCCCAGATTGCGAGAGACCGCAGGCTAGGCTGAGGGACCCCACCAGTGCACGAATCCATGCACCGGGCCTCTAGTATTTTAATAACAGCATTTGAATGATCACTATTTTCCTCCATATTGTTAACTATTTGTCATTTAATGGTATTCCCCTCTGCAAAGTTCAGAAACTTTTAAATGTGTAAAAAGGAATGTTTCAATAATTCCATGAACCAAGTTTTTTTACTTAGTTAAAATATGTTAATATACTTTCAAAGAAATTACATTGTTTTTTCTCCTAACAGAAGATACTCTCTCTATATAAAATTCCTTTTTATATTCCTACATATAATATTCCTTTTGAAGTAAAATATTTTTGAAGTAAAATGCTTTAGCATTAAAGATAAACTGAGCTCAAGAACTGCATCATGAAATTATGATTCTTGTATAGCACAAATTGAAATAATATATGTAAATCATTTAATAAAGTGTCACTGTAGTGTGATTATATAGTATAAAATATACTCATATAATCTTTTGAAAATTCATAATAAACCATGAGTATTTCTAATTCATCTTCTTACCTCATAATTTCAATATCTGATCAAAGACGAGCAGATAAAGATAAATTGGCTCCAATCTGGGCATCTAGAAATCATCCTCGCACAATAGGATTTTATGAAATTTAGGGTAAGCTTAACCATTCAGAAGAATTTGACTAATGAGATGTGAGGATCATTTAAACATTTAGAAAGTCAAGCCCTTGGCAAAATGCTACTTTTAAACAGCTGTAGTTATGTGTATTGGTAGAGGAAACAAAATGTTTCATTCCCTGGTTAGACGCTGGCGGTGCCCCGCGTTCACTTGCCACAGCCCTCCTCACACTGCTGGAATGCTGCTCCTACACTGTCATTCCTACTCGAGTATCTTGTTCACCACTATGTCCCCAATGAAAATGGAAATAATAATAGCACAATGCACAGCTTGTTGTGAGAACCACATAAATTCATGCACATAAAAAGTCTTAGAATAGTATTTCACACAAAGTATAGAATAAATATTAGCTATTATTAGTTGTAGTAGCATGTGTCATGTAGGAGACACACTAAATAACTGTAGTATGAATTAATGAATTTTGCCAACTGATCCTAGTTCTTTTGAAATCTAGTGCTTCTTCACTCATGTGTATATGCTACAGCTAAATATGGCTATTATGTTCTCACAATTCTTCACCAAAATTCCCCAGTTCCTTCACAGTTTCTTCCATATTGAGGTTTATAGATACCTCCCTTCACATCCTAACTTCTTTTCTCAAGATCCATTTTTGTTGTTGGTCACTATTTCTAAAACATTAAAAAGTAGTGCTAATCCCAATTCTTTTTATCACCAGGGACAGCTAATTTATTACAGGCTGTTAAACTGTGCTTCAGTTTCCTATCTACAAAATGATGGGAGGCATGCAGAGTGGAGGGGGTCAATGGGAAAAACCCCCCACAAAGGGGACATCTGTAATACTTTCAAAATGATGGGAGGAAAAGGGCAAGTCTACCTAATTAATAGGAATATCATGAGAAAGTGTTCACATAAGCAATGAATAAGACATACTCAGGGATTTATAACTGTTTAAGTGAATATATTATCTGAGCTCAGAGCTGTTGCTGGGGGCTTTGGATCTTTTTTCCCTCA